GAAACCCCCCCCTGCGCAGCTCCTGGCAGGAGCTGTGGCCCCATGGGGGACCCACGCTGAAGCAGTCTGTTCTAGAAGGACTGCAGCCTGGGGAGGACCCCACGCTGGAGCAGGGGCAAAGTGTGAGCAGTACTCCCCAAGGAGGAAGGAACATCAGAGACACCATGTGATGGACTGACCACAGCCCCCATTCCCTGTCCCCCTGCACCGCTCAGGGGAAGAAGGGAGAGAAATCAGGAGCAAAGCTGAGTGCGAGAAGCACCCTACTCAGATGTGAATGGTAATAAATTAAATTAGTTTTCCCCAAGTTGAGTCTGTTTTCTCCATGACAGTGATTGCTGAGTGATCTCCCCCTGTCCTTATCTCGAACTACGAGACGTTGGTTAGATTTTCTCTCCCCTGTCCAGCCAAGGAGGGCAGTGAAAGAGCGGCTTTGGTGGGCCACTGGCCTCGCCTCCAGCCAAGGTCAACCCACCACAGCATCACTGACTGAAAATATTAGCAATCACCATGGAATAAAAAAAAATTACAGCATCTTCATTAATACACATGCTCTACAAGATCAGGACCTGAACCCACCACCTGTGTCACATGCACGCCGTCTTCAAGGGGTGTGGTGAGATACCGAAGCTATCACAGTAGGAGTGCAAATACTCACGCATACTTTCACTTACCTAAGAACAGCAATCTCTTGAACTGTTATAGCCCTTTTATCTTTAGTTCCCATGTAGGAAAATATGTTTGGCTTCACTCTTAAAAGCAACAGTAACAGGTATATATATTAAAATAGCCAGAGATCAAACAATTTTCAGCATAATTACTTAAAATTATTTATCTTCTATATTAAAAATACAAATACGCCTATGTTCCCCAGAACTAGGCTACAGTTTGACACCTCTAAATATGTGTGACATTTTCTAATCTCATCTATAAGTACATAAAACACAGGGAAACTTCTCTGGTTTAATTATATGTAGACAGATTCACTTTTACCACAACAGTGTTTGAAGTACTTCTTCATGCACATCCACTCAATGCACAACTGTGCAGCCACCACTAATTGCGCTTTAAAAAAATCATGTCCATTTCTTCCTTAAACTTCAAATAATGTGTCTGTTTGAATACCACACATGCCCATTATGTGAGAATGCAAGCAGTTAACTTAAAATTTGATCCATTTTCTTTCCTTGTGAAAGTTTCCTTTCTACTTTGTACTTTACCACCTGTGTTACACAGGGAGTATTTCCGGTTATTCCAGCTATGGGCACCAGGGGTAGCAGGATTGCCATTATTACATTTTTCCACCAAAGTATGCTCCTACCATTCTGCTCTCAAATACAAACACTAGTACTATACCAGTTAAAGTCTAGATTACAAACAGTTATTTTTGGACAGGAAGGGCAAAAGGAAAAGGAGGGGAGAAGTGGGGAAGTTTCCCTAAGAGTAGATCACTGAATTGACCCAATTTTAAAATAGTCATTCCTCTGCAATTCACTGCATTCACATCACATTTGGCAAGTCCTTTTGTTGCTGCGCTTGATGGAGTGAAAGGAACTACGACTGTGTTGCCATGGAGAAATTCATACATGAAACAACAGTTTATTAACTGTAACTGCTTAGGAACTGATCAGCATATTATCACAACAATGTCTGACAGGTTTGTAACATACTTGCATATATTCACAGGCTGAGACAAAAACTGGCTTTAATTCAGGTTATGCACATTGAGGCTGTGAGCTGCCAAGCCCATTTCCCAACAGCCAGCTTCAGTTGTGGACCTTTTCCCATTGAAGTAGTAGGGCACAGGTTTTTAAATTTCTTGGGATCATTTTGTTGCCTTCTCACCCCCTTCCAAAACTCAGGAGTTTCAATTTTCTTTTCTTTTTCTTTTTTAAACTCTGGCTACAAATTAGGCAATACTCGTGTTGCTCTTACATAACTCTGAAGCATGACACATACAGGAACGTGAAACATGGGGTAAGACTGCACGCTAGCCAGGCTGGCAGAAACAATAGCCTTACCTTAAAAATTTGGATAGGACATTAATGGCATCCATAGTATCCTTGTTTTCTTTGTACAGTACGAAGTGGCAGTAGCTTCCCCTAGATTTTGGCCAAGAGTGTTTTCTTGGATCTTTAAAAACAAAAGGTAAGGTGTCATTTTTAAAAAAAATAGTTAATATCTTTGCCACTGCAGCTATATTTAGAACAAATATTTAAAACAGGTATTTAAAATATGCAAGAGTCAGCTTCTGCTAATTTACATCTGTTTAAAAAAAAAATAAAAAGTGAATTACTGACAGCAAAAGCTGCCAAGAACACTGAAAAAGACCTTCTCCCCTGCCCAAAGGCTGTAAATTTCTCTTTAATAAATTCCGTCACCTCAAAAACCTTGAATGAAATGGTGATAGTTCTTTTGTCACAAAATTATCTAAAAATATACCCTAGTCATTTAGGTGCTGTATTTCCTGATTAAATTACTCAAAAACATTATCATTACACTGACTTTCAGCAATAAAAGCCACTCCACATTTCATCTAGTGCCTTCCATAATTAATACGAGGTCCATTTGAGCCCTGTTTGTGGGAAGACTACAATTGTTATTTATAGTACTAACATAATTCTTCATTCCTGTAGGATTTTTTCTGTATGTCACACAAAAGCATGGGTCATATTTCTACAAAAGCCTAAAAAGAGTATACTCACAAAAAAATTACTTTAAGACGATTTTTTTTTTTTTAAGACCTATAGGAGAGAGAAATCTGTCACAATAGAGACATTAACTTGAAGCCAGATACTGTGTCCTGTTTAGAGACCGCCAGAGGGAGAGATAACTTCAGCTCCTGCAGACTGACAACTGGTTTGCAATTCTGTACAATTATTTGGCATTTTCTGGAGAGGGAAGAAAGCTATCAATGTATTTATCAAGCTTTTGTTGCACATAAAAGCCTCCAGAAAGAAAAGTTTCCTTTTACAATCATCCACTGTTGATGGCATTACCAGGAAGGGAGACTGATTCTACACAGGTTTAGCAAACAACTTTGAGGTGCTTTGTTTATTAATTCTTTGGTTTACAAGAACAAAACTAAGGCTTTGTTTTGGTTTAAATAAGAAGTTCCTTATCTCCCAGCAGCCAACAAGCAGGCAT